TTTGTATTTTGCAATCAGTCTGCACTCCCACATAGACTGAACATATCTATCCCATATGTTTACTTTACTTGCTTCATTGTAGTGGGCTGACTATATTGGTATGAAAGCTGGTGATTGGAAACTTTCCTTCATCATTAAAGACAGAATGAAGCAGAATACATGTTTTTGTTTTGTTTTGGGGTTTTTTAGGGGTGAAAGTTGGAGCTCGACTACTGCTTTGATTGGTACAAAACGTTCCAGATTCAGTCCACTCATTAGCCCAAAAGAGTAACAAGTGTTACAAAATATCTAGTTCTGTGCTAAAAAAGTCAGTGGTATGTTTTGAAATCCCTGCCTTTCTTCTACATAGCAAAAGCGCCTTAGGCTCATGGGTATTGTAGTATTTAGACCCATGCCAAAATGAAGGACAAAACATTGAGTTAGGGTCATTACATTAAGCTGGAGAGTCCCGTGTTTATGTGTTTAGTAACTTAGGGTGAACTTGTATGACAGCTCTTGACCTAACCAGTTCAGTATCAAACAACAAAACAGCAGTTACACATATTGTTCTTGAGGCTTGGGATTTAAACACCTTCCTTGTTTCCTTGCATTGCAGTTGAGTGAGTCCAGTTATTTTATAAACAGTAAAATGTCACTTTTAAATGTGTGCGATAGCGGGGCATGACATTATTGATGACCTGACAAAAAGGAAAACACTGCTGATTGGATGTTCGCCTTGTTTCCGTCTGATTATTCTGTAATGTTTCACCTTTTTGGATGAGCCCCAGGTGTTTATGGTTCTCCCCGCCTCCTAATTGGTCAATTATCATTATTGTGTGGTGGGTTGCAGACATACACTCGCACACACTCACTCACACACACATACATACAAACCCCTCCATTATTCATTCTGCTGTGGAGACATGCACTTTTCTCGCCAGTCCACCTAAGGGAGTTATTAGAGGTTTGGGAAATGACTAAATCCCTTCCTGCTCTATCTGTGTTTTCCCCCTGCCTCTTTGTCTCTCACATCCATCAGGAACAAAGAGGAGAGTAGAGGAGTGGGGGTCAACACAAAAAAATGTAATGTATGAGTCTCAGTAAAAAATAAATAAATACATACTCCATGTAATCATCAGAATAGAGTGAAATTATCAATAAACCAACCTAAGCCTGTATGGAAGAAGCTACTTACGACACATACTAAGAAGAAGAAATGTCCTGAATATCTTCCAGTGAATAACTGTGCTTCGGTTATCTTTTGTTTATGAATTTAGTAAAGATACTCCAGCAGATGAGGGTTTAGGAATGTTGTTGCCATTCTTTAAATTTTTAACTTAATTTACTGAAGATTATTCTGATATCTATCTGAATGATGGACCTCAAGATATTCTCTCCTCCATGCGGAAAAAAAAAAAATCAAATCTAAGTTCACCACTTACCAAATGTTTCTGGCGATACTCCATGTTCTTACTAAATGGAATTTCAAAGATGTTCAGCTTTC